CCCCCCCCCCCCATGCCTCTCTGGCTCAGTGATCAGCCGCAGGGGGAGGTGTCCCTCCACCCCAGACCCAGGAGGCACCAGTCACTGAGCCAGAGGGCATGGGGGAGCCCCCCTATGTGCTCCCTAGTGGACCCAGAAGTGGACCAGAAGTGCTTCTGAACCATTTCTGGGTCTGCTGCCAAGTGTGCTGGGGAGCCCCCCCGTGTTTCTGTGGGACACTGCATGTGTCCCATCATCACAGCACTAACGAGCCCCTGCTACCTATAGGTATGTAGAAAAAACATTTAAAGCTGTCTCTATGTCTGAATCTCTGAATCTTTCTGAATGTCTCTGAATCAATTCGGAAGGTTCTGATTTGATTTGGAAAGATTAAAGGGTCCTCTGATTTGATTAGGATTCAGAGATTTGGCAACCAAATTGGGCCAAATCTCCACTGAATCAAATCAGGGACTGAAGCTTTGCACTGAAGCTCTATTTACTAGCATGTAGGCAGTCATATTAGTCACGGGAGATTAGGCCCCTCATATAAATATGCATGCAAGTGGTGATTTAGGAGCCCACCTGGTCTTGTGCATGGACAAATATCTGATTGCATGCATTCATTATTATTCATGTAACTTTCCATATTCAGTCACATCAACTAATTTGGAAAATCTAGCTCTTTACCTTTTTATTTTTGATTTTATCCACATGACAAAGTTACAACAGAAAAAAAAAAATACAGAAAGGATACATATATTTAATATTGCTTCCTAATAAAGCTGCACTAGAAAAACTAAACAATAAAAGCAAAGATAATTAGACAATTTTGATTTTAAATAAGGGGCCTATGGCTTGCAAAGACTAGAGTGTGTGTGCACGGATGTATGCACATGTTTGGATAAGGAAGACTGAGTAACTGTTACAGTGATTCTATTTCTGTCACATATGCTGTATCCAGAAAGTTAAGAATTATTTATTTTTGCAATTCTAAAAATGCCTAGATTAAGTTGTATATACAAATAAAGATATAATCAATTTGAATTTCACTTATCAGCCCAATACAATAGCATAATTAACGGTTCAGCCAACAAACATAGCAGCAAACTCCTTTCTGCTCCACCCAAATCCTATACATTTAGACAGCCCTAGAAATTCAATCAAACAGATGCTTGATACAACATTTACATATATAATATTGTTTCACTGGTTAACACTGGCTAAGTATTAGAATATGAGCGGATGTCTTGCAACCTTAATATTTGATGTTCTTGATGGGGCCACACTGTTGCTTCACACTTGGGATTCTGGTGTTCACTGCTGCTTCCTAGACTATATTAAAATTTAAATGAAGTATTTGAATTCAGCAATTTTGTATTTTGGTTTAAACACACTTGGGGAGGGGATTTTTTCTGGACTGTTCTTTTGTTTCTTTCTGTCTCTTTCCATCTCTTCCTATTACTTTGAAGTATGGAGAATAGATGGCTTCAAATGAGCAAACAAGTTTAATGAATCCTAGATACAGCCATAACTGGGGACATGGGAGAGCTTAGTATAGTGGCAAAGTACCTTTTAAAATACTTTGATGCACAACCTTTTGGGGACAACCAGTTGATTTTTGTAACTGGTTTTCAGTGAAAGTAACTCTTAGGCTAGGGACAGACATTACACATAAACTGGTTTAAGTGATCAGAAACTGGTTTAAACCTGTAACAGAACAGATGTTCAGTGCACATAAACCAGTTTGAAAATGGCTGAAACTGGTTTGAGATAAACCTGGCTGAATGTACTATCAGACTCAATTGATTTGGCTCAAACCAGTTTATGCAATGTCTGTCCCAGACTCCTTGCTGATTTAAATTAAATCATGCTCCCCCAGCATCCTGGCATGCTCTCTGGGCTGTGTAGGGATTTCTGCTCCACAACAGGGCTGGCCCCTCCCCTCTGCTCCCTGGCTGCAGCTCTGGCAGAGACTTGCAGGCACAGAGCATCGATTTGGCTTCTCCCTGCTAAGCAGGGATTATTCTCCATGCCCTTCTGCTTTCCACAGACACCTCAGCATTAGCTAGGAGACCACATGCTGGCTACAATCTGTGCTGTGGGAGATGACAAAGGCACATAGGCTTTTTGGACTAATCAACAGGTAGCTTAATGTCCTTCCTTGGAAGAGCTGTTTAAGAAGAGCTCCATTAGTTAATGGAGAGAGGCTTTGCTTTGTTAATGGGTTGATAAACACTGAATTAGGGGTGATAAAAATTCCCTGTTGAGTAGCTCAGTGGGAGGTGGGGGGATGTGCGGAAATAATCTGAGCGTGGTGCTGGGGCCTGCTCACACCCCCCTCAGCTCAGCCTTGTGGAAGTGAGGGAGGGCTGCTTTAGTGCCTCCCTGGCTTCTAGCCTGAGCCACTGCAGGCACGTGCCTGAAATTTTAAAGTCCAGAGGGGATGTCTGTTGCAGTTTTGAAGTGATTTAGCTTAGCCAGGTTAGACTAACTTGCAAAGATTGAATCAGTTCAGGCTCTGGTTTTTTGAATATCTGTCACTAGCCTCAGTAGATGTAACTATGTGTATGCAAGCTGGTTGGTTCCAGATTAGGTACCTTCCATCATTTCAGTAATCATTTTAGTATTCCAGATGGATCTGTTCAAAGAAGGAATGCTAACTAATTCTTAGGTTCCCATTTTAAAAGTTGCCTGGATTACATGAGCAAAAAGGATATCTATGCATATAACTACATTTTCATTCACTGACACTATCAAGGGTACAGGGCTGCTTGCACCTCACACCTTGTACTCTTTTGTTTTTTTAGAGTGCACTGTCTCACATGTTAAGTCAGTCTTTGGTGGACTTTCAATTCATTTCTCATCTAGACAGACTATGAGTTGGTTATGACAAGATGCCTATGCCCAATAACTCTCAGCTTCCAAATGATTTTATTAAAAGCTGTGTGCTCAACCTCTCTTCCAACTTTTCACCTACTTACAGTGGCCCTCTGCTGTGTACATTAGACAGATGGGGTGATCCCTATGTGTAAGAATGAATAAAAAGTGATTTGACATCAGTTCCAGAGAGACGCACAAACCCATGGAGGAATACTTTAGCTTCCCTGTACACTCCGTAGCTGACCTAAGGACTGCTGTTCTCAGGGAGAAAAAAAAAACAAAACAAACTTGAACAGGAAATTGTGGAACAAGTAATCATCCACAGAGTGGATTGTGTTAAGTATGATCTAAGCTAGGGGTGGTCAATTTGTGGTATACATGCTACAAGTGTCATGGGCAGCCAGTGCCATAGCAATGAAGTTTGGCACCTGGGGCAAAGCCTAGCAGTAGTAGGTTGCCCTTTCCCTGCACACAGATCCAATGGGCACCGCCCCCCCCCATGTTTGCCCGGAAGTGCATGCAGAGGTTGGAACTGCCCTTCCCCCATCCCTGCACCCTCCAAAATGAGCCTCTCGCGGCTCCATCCTGTGCCCAGCCACGGCTGGGCAGTGCCTCTTGGTGCCCCTTCACTTTGGCTACGGCACTGCAGGCAGCTTCTCTGTGTAGCACACAGCAGGACAGGAGGTGACAGGCAGATAGGGACGGGAGAAAAAGCAGAGCAGCAAAGCAGGCATGGGAGGGGCATAAGAGTGGCACTTGAAGATGTTGAAGGGCTAATCTGTAGCAAACCTGCCAAAAAGATTGGTCCCCCGCACTGGTCTAAACCAAGACTACATATTCTTATCTCATTACCTGGTTAGCTTTCATAGCCCCTGTGTTCCTCAAGGGGTTCACTGCTTTACTTTTGTCTCTCCTACCCACCCTGCCTAGCAATGTCCCCTTCTTTTTCCTCTCCTTTCCCTACACTTTGTATTTTAATCAGTGATTTCTATTTAGAATCTCTATTTCCTGCAGTCCTTTCATAGCATCTGTTGTAGTATGCTGCTGCTTACAAAAGCTTATGTAGCGCTGACTTAGTTAGTCTGTAAGGTACAAATCTACCCTGCCTGCCAGTAAAAGACATCACCAAAAAACCCACTTTCTTTTTGCATATTTCCTGGACCATCATGTTCAACACTCTAACACTGCTATACCATTTGTAAAGGGAGAAAGAAATGCCAGAACACTCTCATACCCATTGGTCTCAAAGTACTTGAGTCTGTTGACTTTACAATAAAGAACTTCAAGATATGTCCCAGAAGTTTCCCTGTTCTAGAGGCACCAAAGTACAGGTACATTTAGGTTTAAATTTTTTGCTTTTTGATTTCATAAATTGATGCCTTTCCATATATTGGAAACATGCTGTTATT